ACGACACCCGGTGAGGCGCGCTCCAGGCACGCTCCTTGCGCAGGCTGCACGTTGGGCGAGGTACCCAGGTACTTGTCTCCAGCTCCTGGCTCTGAGAGCACCTAAGACCAGCCCCCTAAGAGTCTGTCTACGGCAACCTCTGACCAATCATAGCCATGCGTCGGAAACGCTAGGCCGCGCTTGGCTAGGCCCATGCCTCGTGGGAGAAACTGAGCACCGGGCATTGTATTATTGTCTCGAGGTGAGTGAATGGTGAGAAGGCAGTCATTGTCACAGCGGCTGTTTAATCCAAATGAATTGCTCAATGTATTCTGCTCAATATATTCTCTATTAATTTTGATGCGCCGTGCATCGCTATTCTATTGTCACGTCATGCTTTGGTACTTGGTCCTATTGGAATCTGCATCATTTTAGAGAGGTGAGGACTGGGTCAGCCGGTAGGCACTACCAGCCCCAACCGTAAAATACGTTCCAAAGACCTGCAAAGCCTAAACTGGACACCTGGAGCCACTGAACTGGCTGCATCTCCTTATGACCTAATCCCTCCTACCTTACGTACTACCTAGCTATGTGGGAAGCTTCGACAGCAACTCTCGAGGGGTTTCGGACCATTCATCTGCATTACATTAAACCTTTGCACCCACCCCTCCATCTAGACTCTATGTCCCACCCTTGAAACAATTTGTTTCCTCACCAGACTTGGCTGCGAGTCCCAGCAAATCTGCTCACAGTCCATTTACCCGAGCTGTTGAGGGCTCTCTTGTGTTACTGTGTCTATAGAACGCCCCTCACCTCGACTTGAACCGACCCCCTCTTCCTTCAACCCTAGGAACCCCGGTGTCTTACAAGCCATGGCTTCCAAGAAGCCTGATGCCAGCGCGGCCGACGACAATCTAGATGAGCTTCTTGCAGGCCTCGGAGACAGCACCACGACCAAGAAGTCATCCACTGGCAAGACCAAACCCACCGCTGCCTCCAAGGCCAAGGCCAAGGACGATGATTTTCTAGCCGATCTCGAGTCGGAGCTGGCTGCTCAAAAGCCCCCCTCCCGTGTTCATACGCCTCGGCTTAGTAGGGAAGTTGCGTCGAAGCGCTCTGCCGCTACCCCTCCCTCGACAGATGACAAGATTGCCGCACGCAAGTCCACCGACAGTGCCCGCAGCATCAAGGCAGTCCTCACACCAAGCGCAACGAGTTCCGAGCTACACGAATCCGAGAAAAAGGCACCGGCAGAACAAGCCCAACAACAGCAGACTGGCGGAGGTTGGTGGGGTGGCATTTTCTCAACTGCATCTGCAACGGCCTCAATGGCTATGAAGCAAGCTGGCGCTGCCTACGAAGAGATCAAGCAAAATGAAGAGGCCAAGAAATGGACCGACCAGGTTAGGGGATTCTCGGCTCTTGATGTTGGTGCTTTGCGCAACTATGGTAAGTCACTATATTCTATAGACACTCCAAGGGTGTGCTGACCATTCCAGGTGATGAGCTTCGCCAGCGAGCCTTGCCAACCTTTACCAACATCCTCCATACCCTCGCCCCGCCAATCGGTTCCCATGAACGCCTCCTCATCCACATCACCCACGACCTCGTTGGCTACCCTTCAATGAACCCGTTGACCCAGGCCGTCTTCAGCCGTGTTATGGATCAAGTTGAAGGAGGTGAGCTTCTTGTTGTTCAGCGCGGCCGGGAGAACGGCTCTCGAAGACTCAGCGAGACTGTTGCCGGCTGGCGCGACGGACCTTGGTGGAGGCAGGTCGACTCTCCCCGCGAGCTGGGCACTGTGGTCGGCCTCGTCGAGGGCACAAAGCTCTGCCGTGCCAATGCCGAGAGCTATGCGCAGGAATACTTTGCTGCGCACGGTGGGGTCGAGGGAGCCAGGATCCGCGCTACAGAGGCTTACAGCGAGAGCAATCCTGTGCGAACATCGGATTTGTTCTTGGCTATTCAGGCTATCGCCATCGAGACGGACAAGAATCTGTTTGCTGGCACAGCCTCGGAAGAGAAAGCAAAGGAAGATTCTGCCGTCAAGGATCAGGGTGATTCAGAGGAGCTCATCTGCTTTGCTGTCTACATTCTTGATCCGGTCCATGAGATCCAATTCTCTACTGTTAGTCAGACTCTCCCATCTCAGTGGCTTGATTGGCTGGAAGCCGTTGGGGACGAAGATGATGAGAAGACAATCTACGAGAGTATCCCTGATGATATCAAGGAGATTATCGAAAGTGGTGGCGAAGATCCTCGTGAATGGGTTGCCGCTTGGGTTGAGGACATCCTGAGCCTGTCTGTTGGTGTTGTTGCCCAAAGATATGTCGCACGAAGAATGGGACTTGGCGAAGGAGGTATCGGAAAGGGCAAGAAGAGGGCTGAGGAGGTGATCCAAGAGGGTGGCGGAGAGGCAGCTAGGGCTGGCGTGCTCTAAGAATATCTCGCTTTATGTGTCTTTGGTTATTGATCCCCCACCTTTCTTGGTTTTCTCACGGTCTACTGGAGTTTTTGGCAGGGCTGCTCTTTGTTTGCTCTAATCGTTTATATACCTATCTACCTACCGCTGTCTAGGCGATGTTACGTGCAAGCTTGCCTCCTAAATGATCCCAAACAAACAAGTTCTCTAGAATGTGCCCGTCCTACGAACCGAACCCGCCTTCATAAGTTCTCCTCGGGCTGATCGCGTGGCACCTTCCATCTGAACATGTCGTAGTGGGCGGTATCTGGGCTCCCACATCTGCTCCCGGATCCACTCGTCCAGGTCCTCATCGGACTCTGGGATGTCCCTCTCCGTCGCCAGGTCATCGTCCACAGCCTCCTTGATCACGCTCCTCGCTACACGGACGCTGATCTCCTTCACAGACAGCACCCCCGGGAGGAGGGGGGCGGTTGGGTCCTTGAGCGCGGGGCTCATCGACGACACAGCCTCGACCGCGGCCACGAGCATCCGATCGGTGAGGAGCCTCGCGCGGGACAGCACACAGCCCAGGCCGATCCCGGGAAACACGACAGAGTTGTTACACTCGGCAATGTCGATTGAGACATCTTCGCCGTTTGCACCCCACGGGCCTGAGACAGGATCGAACGGCGAGCCCGTGGCCACGAGGGCCTTGCCATCCGTCCACTCGAGCAGGTCGGCGGGCTTGGCCTCGTGCAGGCGGGTTGGGTTGGAGAGGGGCAGGATGATTGGCCGGGGCGCGTGCTCGTGCATGGCCTTCACGATCTCCTCCGTGAACGCGCCGGGGACGGTCGACGTCCCAATGAGCACGTTGGGCCGGACGGCCTTGACCACGGAGAGGAGGTCTCTGCCCTGGTCGTTCCAGGAGGAGGCGTCCTTGGCGAAGCCTCTCTGCGCGTCGGAGAGCTCCGTCTCGGTCGTGAGGAGGCCTGGCTTGTCGATCAACCTGCGTAAAATATTCATTAGCATAAACAGTTTGCGTTGGACAGTCCCCATTGGGTTCGTACCAAATCTGCTTCGAGGCCTCTTCGTGGGAGATATCACACTCGGCCGCAATCGCATCGCGGATCTGGTCCGCGATCCCGACCCCCGCGCTGCCAGCCCCAAAGACGACCAAACGAAGATCGCCGAGCTTCTGCTTGCTGACGTGCAAACCGGCTAGGATGGCTGCCAGAGTAACACAACCAGTTCCTTGTACATCATCATTGAAGCACGGGATGTTAGGCCGGTACAACTCCAAAAGGCGCCTTGCTGCACTGCCTTTAGCTACAAGAAGCCGTGGTACAGCATGAAGAGGGGGAGGATATCTCACCATTGCGGAGTCCAAAGTCTTCAAAGTGTAGATAGGCTCGGGGGTAGAGCTTGCGGACCGAGTTGACAAAGGTGTCGACGAACTCGTCGTACTGCTTGCCCCTGACACGACTCTGCCGCAGCCCGAGGTAGAGTTCATCCTTGCGGAGCTCCTCGTTGTCTGTTCCACAGTCGAGTACGACCGGCAAGCAGCGGCTGGGGTGGATGCCAGCGCAGAGGGTGGTGAGCACAAGCTTTGCAATGGAAATGAGTATGCCGCCCACGCCCTGGTCTCCGATGCCTAGAATCTCCTCGCCATCTTCATATCGGTGGTTAACACGATGTTCCTCAATGATACCATCTGAAGAGTGTGGGGCCTACCCGTGATGACGATGTAATCGATATCTTCCGGCCTGCCCCATTGTGCCAGATCTGGAAGCACTCTATCAGGATCATTGATGCTTAGATAGCAGCCCTGCGGCCGCCTGAAGAGACTCGAGTAGTTCTGAATGGCATCTCCCTCGGTCGGCGTATAGATGATGCTGAACATTTCCTCCACATGGGTTTCGATGAGCTTGACACCCCCCAAAAAATAAGTTTTTAGCGTTTCATGTCCAGTACGATTGGTTGGTCCATACCTTGTAGTACAGAACCTCATTCTGGTCCTTGAGAGACGTAAGAAACGTATTCTTTGCGAGGGGATTCGGTCTTGTCGAGTATTGCTCGTATGCCCGCTTCACCTGCTGCTCCAGGCTCTGCACGCCCCGTGGCAGGAGCCCGGAGAGGTTGAAGACGCGGCGCTCATCTGGGGGGAAAGCAGAGCCTTTGTTGAGGTACGGGGTGTTCAGGAGAGAGGTTCCAACGAGGGCGCAATCAATTGGCCCGCTGGTGCCGAGGGGGAGGTGGGCGAATTTAGGCTTGCTGGGCGTCATCACGATAGACATTCACGGCTGAGCGAGGGTTCTGGTTTAACATGAAACGAGGATGGTAACTCTGTTGTGGTTGCATGAAAAGGAGCGAGGCATCTAGGCTGAGGAAGGTCGAGGGTGTGTACTGGAGCAACAGGTTTATCGTGCATATGGACATTAGTAGTGCCCGGCCCCCTCTAAAGCATGAGATAATGGATGGTATGACGTCTGCTGCAGTAGGTCGCTCGCTTCGCCGTTACATGTGGGCGGCTCCCCGTTTCTGGTTGCACGCAGCCGCACATGGCGCCCAGCCGAGGACAAGGGGGTTCATGAACAAATCTGTATACATTATAATGTGCCTAAACGAAAAGATGTCGAACACTTGGAGCCTCGCCCGTGTTGGATTCCAGACATGGAGACGGGCGTGGACTATGATGGTCCTGGTTTGTCTTGCAGCAGCAGTCCCTCCTCGTCCAGCAGAGCTGAGCAAAGAGAGACTGCGCGGAGTAGACTCCAGACCAGCCGACTTCCACAGAGCGGCACAAAACGTGCCGCGTCAAGGAAGATCTTCGTGTAGAAGACTCGTGGAGATCCCGAAGGTCGAGTGGCTGGTCAGTAGCGCTGCGGCGGACTACGGAGAATGATTGATATATATCTGTATTTCTTACCTTCTGTTCCTGGGCGTCGAGTGCCAATTTTTTGAAGGGCATCGCCTACATGCTGCAGACCATTTTGTTTCTGAGCCAGATCCAGGTGCATTGTTGCTGGGAAAAATTTGTCATCGCCGCGATCCCGTTTAATACTGCTGGAGAAAGTGCTGACTAATCACAAACACATTGGCTGGCTGTTTCCCAACTTCTAATGTTCAAAGACCAACTTGCTTCATTCATTCCCTGGTTTGCCATATAATATAGGAGAAAAAACTATTGAGGCAGGCGCCCATCTCCCACTCTTAATAAACATAGAGTACTGCGCACTTAACCTTTGTTCTTGTTAAGAATGGTCATCCGTTGGGCAAGGGTTGAAAATACCCGTTGCCGTTTCAACCATGTTGTCCAACAGAGCGACAATTGGGTTTGCTTGTTCAACAACATGAGCACAAGTGTTCGAATCACAGCAATGGCCCGTGATTCAATATGGTCTGGTTGCGCACTATCGTGACACTGTCAGGTCGGCCTGAACTGAGTTTCGGTCTATTCTGCAGTCGTGTTCCTCCGTAGGTGGACTATCAACACATGCAGTGAAACCACCGAGAACCACTTGCATTGCTGAGCCACTTTGTCAGACATTCATGCATTGAGTGATCTTCCTTGAACGTTGCCTGAAGCACCCTGTTGTGTCTCCATGAACTCCTCAGGCCTTCGTCCTACGTCTGCGGATTAGGCGAAATCGCGGTTCTTAAACAATTGGACTGGCTGGATGGAGGCGACACAGTGAAGTGACATCAATGGAAAAACTATATAAGAGCCCTCTGTTTGCAGCTTGAGAGATCCTTTCCAACTCAGTCATCAACAACTCGAACTCGCACTTTATACGCATTGCTTACACGCATTGCTGAGCCTACAACTTTTCCTGACGACAACTCTCTGGCGGTGAACCTCAAACATAGCCACGATGGATCACCAAAGTATCAATCTCAGACCTGGCGATGTATCGGATATGCAGATACTGCCCGGCCTAGGAGATGGAGGCAATTCTGACGGCACCGCGCCAAATCCACTTTGTCGAGGCCCATCATGTACCCCAATCAACTTGGAAGAGAGTCAGATTCAAATTTTACAGCGTTTAAGGGCTTGGCTAAACGAAACAATTAGCACACATTCGAAGAATGTGCCTACTGACAACGAGCCCGTCTTTCTCCAGGCTATAGACCGGGGGACTCTTGATCTCGGTGTGTGCAGAGGGCCTTTCTGGCCATATCCAAAATTCTCTGAAGAGGAGTTCATTAAGCTGTCTGATGCTGGTACCCAGGACTCTAAGAACCTGGAAGCTGCGCTGCAGGTTTTCCCATCGGCTTGGCCTCAATCGATGAAACACGCCGACACACTCCAAGACTATCATTTCGCACCCAAGATTACTCATCTAGAGTGGTCGCGTCATAGCACGGCTCCTATTGAGCCTATCGACATTACGGGGAAAACCGACTGCCCTTTAATGCATTCGGTGGGCGAGATTGAAACCAGAAATCAACTGAAGACATCCCCTGACGGGGTTACAGGGTCGATCTGGTAAGTTAGCCCACATGAATTCGTTCTGATTATCTTTCTAACTGCAACTAGCTTTATGCACGTGAAGAACTATGCAGACGTTCTGTCCACCCGGGACATTGCACATATCGGTACTCATCTACTCGAAGGACTTCTGTCCGGCTCAGACTACAATGTCATGGGCCTGAAGCCCTCTCGCTGGGTTACAGATTTTGTGTTCCCATTATGTCGAAAGATTGACTTCCGCCATGATAACCGTGCCTGGGGATGGCCAGTGGCGTGGAGCCATGATCTCGTGGAACAAGATGGTTGCCCCTGTCATGTATTTGCTGGCATCATGCACCATATACAGTGTCTTTCGCTGGCACCGAGGCCTGACGTAAAGGAGCTCCTAGGAGTACCCCCTGACCGCAAGGTCGAAGGTCTATCGCTTAACAGACAGTACGGAGCCCTTGTGAAGGATAAGAATATCTTCATTGGCGAGCGTCGCATTTCAATCGCTGTGACGGCCCTTTGCAACAGGTCAATGGAACCAGATTCGAAAGATCTCAAGCCGAGCCTAGAAAGGTATAACGCCATGTGCGTGGTTTCGCCTGGCAACGAAGACTCAGATGACTTGGGAAGATTGCTCTCCACGATCCGTACAGGTAGGTATCGTGGGCTTGCGCAGTTTGATGAAGAGCATGTTCCGGTGGCTGCATTTTTGATGATCTATGCCTCTGTAATTCCTTTGTGGTCCTCATTCTGGATTAGCTTTCTTGATGGCATTGACGCCTGTTTCAACGTCGAGGTGAGTGAGCTCAAGAGCCAGTCAGCTACATCTTGGTTACTAACACAATCACAACAGCCCCAGAACCTCCTCATTCGAGGCTCTACCACCGATCCGGCCGTTAACTCGGTCCTTGACGAGTCTTTGCTCCAAACTGAAACTCATTTTCAGATTCTACAGCTTCTTCGCATTGCAGCGCTTTGGGTTGGTACCGCTGCTCGCGAGCTTCACAGCGCGCGAGCCGACATTATGGAACCAGATACTAACAATCCTTTCCTCTCTAATTTGGGTCATCTCTGGAATGACGTCGAAAAGCAACTGGAAGATCATTCAAAGAAGATCATCTCCAGGATCGACAGAAAGACCGAAGAGATTAAGAGTCTGCGAGACGGTGTATGTATTAGCCAACTCATCTCTCACCTTTCTACCCACCGTGAAGTCCCTGGGCCATCTGGCTCCCAGAAAAAGGATTAAAATCTACACAGAACCATTTGATTCCCCCGGGGGCTGACTACCCAACCCTGAGCAGCTTTTCCACGCCACGTCCCTGGGAGAAGCAACCCGCGGGACCCAGATCAACGAGTACATCTTCGTCTTCACCGTCATGACCATCGTCTTCCTCCCGCTCAACTTCATCGCGGTAATTTGCCCTTGTCTCCTGGCATTTCTCCCCCTGCGACCACTGACTTGAGACTCTCCCTTTTTAGTCCTTGTACAGCAACAGTATCAGCCTCTTTGATGCTAGGGACAATACATATCTGGGCAGATTTAGTATCATCTTGCTCGGTGTGTCTATGTGCACCTACATTGTATCTTTCTTCATGATCTGGGTTGTTCGGAGGGGAGGGCTGAAGAGGTTTCATTGGATGTGGCGTCCGAGTGTTGGGAAGCTTGATCTGAGTGACTTGAGAATGCCAAAACGTCGGGGTACTGGGAATCTAGAAGCATTTGGTGTAGCGGTTTGAAATTGCGGTTCATGTTGAAAGTCGGGGAATTTTGGCCAATGGATGCTGTATACTGGGACGAGATGCTTGTAGGAGGTCAAAGAGGAGCACGGGACAGATTGCTTTTTCTTTTATTTCATTTTATGTTCTCGGATCGAGAACCATTTCATATGTCAAATCTCAAGTCAATACTATTCAATTGAGCATGCCCAAATATTGAGTCGTGATGACTGTGCTTTTACTGCCTCCTGTGAGACCAACAGTGACAAGTTCCCCCGGTACAATATCAATCAGATTGTCCTGGAATTTCACATCATCATCTTCTGACTCCAGCGAGACCCCCTTGACTGGGACTTCTGCACCAACGGATACTGTCTTACCATCCGCGGCCACTTCCACCTGAAGAGACTTTGGTTTCTGTAGATGAACATACTTGAGGGGCTCCGGCCAGTTGACATACCGAGCAATCTGCTGCCCGTCTTGGTAGAGGTATGCCGCCACGACGGTCCGAGACTCGAGACCTTTGTTCTTGGTCGCCACTGGCACGTCCATCGCATAGATCTCAGTGGACCTGTTGGCTGGGAGCGTGATGCCCACCGCCACCGTCTGAGAGTAAGTCTCCTCCCCGGTCTCGACGTCCCAGGCCTTGATGACGCAGTCCACCTTCAGATCCTCCAGCTTCAGATTAGACCCCCAGACCTCGACCCGGATCTCCGTATCAATGTCCACGCGCGTGTACTTGTCCCTGGGGTGCCGGAACTCGCGCCGCGTCATCCCAATGGATATCGGGGCCATCTCCCTCTTCACGGTGTAGTAGGCATGCTTGGGACGGAGGTGGTAGTCGCAGATGGACCAGGAGGTGACGGGCCAGCAGTCGTTGATCTGCCACACGAGGGCCCCGCTGCAGTACTCGCGCCCGGGGCCCTTCCACTGCCGCTTCCACAGCCGGTAGGCGGACGCCAGGCACTCGGCCTGCATCAGCTGGGTGCAATAGACGAAGTGCTCCAGCGGGTCCGGGGCGTAGCGGAAGTTCTCGACGAGGTAGAGCGCGATGCGGCGTTCGTGGCCGGCGGCCTTGTTGTGGAAGTCCACGGTGGAGGATTGGGGGTACCGGTCCGGATCGTCCTTGCCCAGGGGCAGGTATCCGTCGATGGTCTTGACGGACGGGAAGGCCTCCATGCCGAACTCGGAGACGAAGCGGCCGACCAGCTTGTCGAAGTCTTGGTACTTTTCCTGGGACCCGTGCCAGACGTTCCACTGGTGGATGTCGCCGACCTTGGGATCGCCTGAGGACTTGCCGCCCCAGGGGCTGCCGAAATGGTAGTACGTGTCTGGGATGAGTTCCTGACAGACGTCGGCCAGGATCTTCTCGTAGATGTAACGAGCTGGGAAATCCGTTTCAAGCCAGCTATCGGGGTCATGGTTGTCAGGATCGTACGTGAGCTTCTCGCTCTCCTGGTACTGGTAGTCCTCGTTGTTACCCGCCCAGATGACGATCGACGGGTGATGTCGCAGCAAGCGAACGTTCTCTTCTGCCTCTCTCTTGATGGACTGGCGCATCTCGGGCCATGCAGGGTAGTTCCCACACCCGAACATGAAGTCTTGCCACACGAGAATACCCAGCTCGTCACAGGCATCGTACAACGCTTGCTCCTCGTATATTCCCCCGCCCCAGACGCGCATCATGAACTGATTTCCGTCAGCTACAAGCTTGACCCAATCACGGTATTTCTGTTTGGAAATCCGGGGAATGAAGTTGTCGCCCGGGATCCAGTTGCTGCCACCGCAGAAGACGGGGATGTTGTTGATTTCAAAGAAGAAACTCGTCCCCTCTTGGTC